AAAAGCAAGTCTCTTAGCAGCCTAGGTACAATGCAGGCCTGGTTCCCCACGGGAACACCAATCTGTGGGCTTGGATCCCGTGTGCCGAGTCACTCCCCACTGGTTTTTCCAGGTCAGGGGCTGGGCTACATTCCCCATACCAGGCAGATGGGTTCCCTGTACTCCCCTGCACTCCCAGCAGGAACACAGCCTGCCCACCCATTTTAAATGTCTGACCTCCAGAACCGTAAGGTAATACATTTGCATTGTTTTAAACAACTGAGCTTGTGGTAATTTGTTATAGCAACCACGAGAAACTAATATAGCGTGTCGGTTTTTACCTACTCTCCTTCTTTCCATCATAGAACTCCCACTTTAAAGTGCACCATCATTTTATCTCTTCCCCAGAATAACCCTGCAGTCTTCTGCTAGGGTAGGAGGAGAGGGGGCAGGTACTTTGTTGCTGAATAGATAAAACTATATTTTCAGTCAAACTTCACCTCTGCTTCCAGAAGTACTTAGTGATGCCAATTTCCAGACCTGTGGTGGTTCTTTGGGGGGTGGGGAAGGGTGGTAAACGAGGTCACTTTTGAGCATTCACACTGCTGGCCAAGGTCCAGCTTTCCCGGTTTAATAGTTACCAGTCATCTTCCACTCTCCAGCTTCCAAAACTTTGCCACTATTAATTTCTCTTTGGTTTTCCTTGTCTTTGTCGTGGTATCTCTAACTCCATCCCTGAAAAACCAAGCCAATTCAGAGCCCTTCATTATTATCTCATTGCAATTTCTGATTCAGGAGGGAGCAGTAGAAGCATATGTGTATAGCCAATCAACTTTGCCAAAGTTGCAAAACCGTGAGTGCCATTATTTCATACAGCTTTTTCCTTAGCACGGTGCTGGATTTAGAACATGGCATCTTACAGATGAAGTTTTATATGATTTGTGTCAGTATGACAGGTGGAGGTGAAGATCAGTAATTTTGTAGAAGGGAGCCTGGGCTAAATTAAAGGCTTTGCCATTGACTAGTGGCGTGACTTTAAGAGAGTACCTTAGAGCCTTGGTTTCCTCACCTGTGTCTAAGGAAGTGTCTGTAAATATGGTAGAAATCACATGAACTCACAGAGTGATTAATTAGAACAGGTAAAGGCAAAAAGCCCTTGGTCACAGCATCCTCCCACTGTGGAACAGAATGACAGGTGAATGGAGACTGAGTTGTGTTGACGGTACCTTGGTCCTTCCCTGTATGTGACAGGTACTTACCTAGACCTGGGGGGCAAACGAATGTTTCCTCTCAGTAAAGTATTTCAAAACAGAACAATGACTATTGGGATTCAGTAAATGCGATATGAACCCTAAAAAGGGCAAAAATCTAAACTAATGTTTAAGTCTTTTTAGTTTCTCCTCCCCTTTTTTCATCTTCAGTCCTTTTAACAGAATATTGTATTTTAAACTTGTTGTTATTCCATTTTCCTCAAGAAATTGTAAGTGCAAGATAAACAAAAAAATAAAGAGCAACTTAGTCAGCTTTCTTCTAGAATTTAGACGAGCCTCTTAATTCTTTCTTCTCTTTCAGTCTCTTTTCCGGATAATCCCGTTTCCACCCAGCAGGCAAAGGAATCTTAAAAAACAAAATGTACCTCAAAGTGAATTACTTCACAGCTTAAAATCTCTCACTGGTTTCCCATTTTTCTTGGAGTAAAAAACAAACTCCTGGCTCAAGCTACAAGGCTTCCCAAAGCTCCACCCTCGCCTTCAGCCTCATCTTGTACCACTGAACTCTCTTACTTTAAAACGAAATATCTTGTCCAAAGTCATTCCTCAGTACAAATTTGTTAAATAAATGATTGATTAATACATATAAAGAGTAAAGGATACATTTTTTAACATATAATTTCAAGGACTTTGCTTTTATTTTCAATTTTTCCTACTGAGTCAGGTGGGAAAACTGGTATGGACCCAATGGCTTCATAAATGCTTATTTTGGCTCAGTCTTTGGAGCCTAGAGAATTTTTTGGAAGAGAGGGAGAAAACTCTAGCTGGGGGGCTGAGGTTAGGTGGTTCTCTGCTGTAACTAAGGTGCTGGGCAGTGTCAGGGAGGAAGGTGGCTACTCTGAGGCTAGTATACCTTCAATCAGATCACGTGTAGCCATGTCCTACCACCGAGGCTGGCACACACAAAGGTGTTCAATAAATATTTGTCAGATCAGTGACTAAAAGTGGCCTTTCTACTTTACCACGTGCCTTCCCAGCTGTGAATAAAACTTTGTGATTTCCTCCTTAATGCTGTCATTACAGGTCACTTTTGCCGGTGTTTAGCTGAATGTTTTGGTGGAGGCCAAGTATTTGCTGTCTTAAGAACAACTATCCTAAGTCCAGTTCAGAAGAGGCCTGTTTATTATTCTAATTCTTAAGTATCCCCCTGCATATTCACAAAGACTGTTTCCTTTCAAAGTCACTAGTGAGCTCCCTTCATAAATCTATTGTGATTGCTGGAAAAGAAGCTTGTCTGAGTAGGACCAAGAATGGAGCTCTAGTTTGACATCATTGGGATTGCCGGTGTGTTGCTGGGCATCCGTGCTGGGGCTCACCTGGCTGCGAGGGCAGACCAGGCATAAGCACTTGGGTAGGAAGTGAGCAGTGTGTGTCACTGGGCTGGAAGAGGGTGACCGGCTCCACGTGGCCCCCGGAGCCTGGAAGGTGGTCTGGCAGAGCTGATGACACCCTTGCTGGTAACACTGAGGGACACTGAGAATTCCTTCCTGGCATGTCAAAGATGTAACTGTCTGGGAGTTCCTTCAGATCCCTCAGCTAGAGATTTATCTACTCGGCCTAGGGATGGCAGATTACGTCAGCTTGTGCGACAGGACGAAATATTGGTGACAGCTTCTGGAAACCTATAAGGAGAGAAGTTCCGAGATCGTGTGTGGGTCCCTCAGGAAAGTCTTGTCATAAATTAGCAGTGTCAGTCATGAGTTTTGAAACGGGATTGGTCATTATGCCACGTATTTAATGTCATTTTTTAAGGCTTTTTTTGTTTGTTTTGTTAAAATCTGAGTAATTAAATCTAAAATTCCATTTTGATCTTCACATAAACTCTGAGGTAAGTACTGTTATGATCTTTTCTTGTTTCAGATGAGGAGACCAAGGTGCAGGCATACTGTTTCCCTAACTGTACAGCCAGTGGTGGTGAAACTCCTATTTCCACACGTGCCCACCTGACTCCAGAGCCCACACGTGCCCACCTGACTCTTTAGAACCACTCAGCTTTCCCTAAGACTTCTGGAGTGCCGAGTTTAACGCTGCTATCACTCATTTAAACCCTAGAGTGGATGAGCTTCTCTCCACTGAAGACAGGACAATATAAAAAATGAATAAGGTTGGGAGGGCGACAGGCGAACGGCAGCTACTTTATAACACTGAGACCGATTCTTAGTCCAAATATTGAACGCATGACTTGGTATATGACTACTCTAGTCCAGGAATATGAATTATTTCTAGATCATTTTTATAAAGATTTTATTTATTTATTTTTAGACAGAGGGGAAGAGAAGGAGAAAGAGAGGGAGAGAAACATCAGTGTGTGGTTGCCTCTCATGTGCCCCCTACTGGGGACCTGGCCTGCAACCCAGGCATGTGCCCTGACTGGGAATTGAACCAGCAACCCTTTGGTTCGCAGGCCACACTCAATCCACTGAACTACACCAGCCAGAGCTCTAGATCATTTTTAAGGATGCAGTACATCTATACCTTGAGATCTGATCCAAGTGGGAGTGCTATTGTCAAATGAGATTTTTCACCCCTTGAAACTTTTTATTGGAAAAGTAAAAGTGTTAATCACTATGTCCTGGTGAGATGCTAAAGGCAGGTAATTATATTTTGTTTGCCGTAAACACTTAACGCATGTTCTTTTAATAGGATGATCTCTGTATTTATGAAAATACATTACTGTCACTTTCCCCAAGTATTTATTTCTGTAATTAACCATTAAAATTATTTGTACATGTTCAATTTATAGTATTCATGTAAAACAATTTGCATTTTACCCAAAGGCAGAAAAAAAATACAAAACAAAAAAATTTTCAGATTTTTTTAGTTGCTATTAGAGATGTCAGAATATGGTTTCATTTCTTACCTGCTTGGCATGTGCACCAGCCCACAGTGCCTGCAGCATCATGGATGAGATATGAGACAAATTCACACGGATTACGGAGTCCTGTGAAGGGAAAAGGACTGTACAGCTACTCCCTCAAGGGGGGAGCACCTCAGATGGCCTGGCCACCCTCTTAAGGGGACAGCATGCTGACCCTTGCCCAGACAGGCTTTCATTGGGTTTGATTTATGCAGGACTACAGGTACAGCTCACTAATTGTTGTCAGGCAGTAAGGATCAAACAGTAGATAGCATACAAAGAACTATTAGGGCTTCTTCTGAGTCAGGGTCTATCAGCTAAAAGGCTACAAAACTTTGGGAGACAAACTCATTTTCTGCTTGGACCTTTATCATTTAATTAAGAGCATTCTTAGCAAAGCAGGCTTTACAGGATTTTACATATCCTTTCTCAGGCCTGATCACCCGGGGAGCCTGCCCTTTCCAGCGCAGGGCTGCACCACCCTCTGTCATTGTCTCAGGCTTAAGTCAGGCAGAGGAGGCAGATAGCCAAGGAATTTTCGGAGACTTCTCTCAGACTCAGGGGATTCAGGCTTTGTGAAAGCCAAGGGGCAAGGGTCCATCACCCCCTTTCTTCATAGCCCCCTAAGTCCATCCCTGGGGCCTCCACATGATCCTGCCTGGCTTAGTCAATTCCCCTCTTGGGGAATCTTACCCATCATTGGCTAACTGATCAAGCACTGGAGGCCAGTTATAGATGAAGGAGCCGAAGCGTAGCCCCTGCCGGGGAAACAAGCCCTGTCTCCCTAGTGGCCCATTGTCCGAAGGTCACACACTGAGCCCTGGTCATGGGGGGTCTATAGCTCTTGAAACAAGGCAGGGCGGTTCCCAGCACCTGCTCTTTTTCTTTTACAGAAAAATCTGTCATTGCTCAACCAATATTTGTTTTTGAAAAGAAAGAACAAAGTTCTAAGGTAAGATCAAGTTACTTCCCTGTGTTTGCTTTTTCTTTGACAAAGAAAATTGTATTTCAAGAAGCTAGCTACACTGAATCATATTTCTGCTGATTTAGTTTACTCTCTTATTCTTCATTTAGCTGAGTAGTGCCTCCAGAATATTTATACAGCAGGGATTTACTGACAGCAATTTGGCTGAAATGGGAAGCCAGCGGCCTTGTCTTCAAGTGATGCCATTTTTACTAAATTACACACTTTTTTGGAGTGACTTGGGAAAGAGGGGAACTGAAAGAGATTAAAAGGGCCAAGGCTCCTTGTGGGTCTCCACCACCATCTGGCCTAAAACTGGGTGTTAAATAAGTTGTAAACTGCGACATTTGATTTTAAAAGGGACCTTAAGGACCCTGTCTGTTCCATCATCCTGTGAAGATCACCTGCTTTGAAAGACAAAAGGGAAGATCTGTAGCATTCCCACTTTTATCTCAGTGTTTCCTTGTTATTCATTCTTGCTTATGCAGGTAATGTCCGTCACTACCCACAAAACTGGCTAAAGAAAGCTTAATCCCCAAGCCCTTGTTCAAAAATCAGGTTCATGGGCCCCACCCCACGAATCCCGAGGGCTGGTATTTCCGATGCTCCCCCAAGGGAACCTTTAGTCCCTGAGATAGAAACCGCTGGCCAGGCTTGATGTTTTCTAGATTACCTGCCTAGTGAGCAGTTCGGTCCGGCCTACCTGCATAGGCCTGGCTTTAGAGAATTCTCTTACGGAGTGACGGGGCGGAAGTACAGCAGCAAACAGATCTCACACGCAGCTTCGTTTCCTTCCAGAGACCTGCAGAAGAAGCCCTATATGAAGCCGCGGAACATGGTAACCGTTCAGCTCTTGTATTTCAAAATCAACATTATACAAAGAGAATAAGCAGGCACAAGTATCTGGGCGTGTGACACAGACTGTGCATAACTTACTGCTTTTCCTGGGTTGAAATATGAAGGTGTTATGTGCTCACACATAATGGGATGTACAGGTGTATTACAAAATTACACACTGGAAATTCATTTAATGTCATTAACAAATATTATCCCAACCAATTTAATTTAAGATATTTCAACAGGAAAATGCAGCTTAAACTGCATTAAAACTCAAAATTTTAAAAAAGATTTTATTAAAATATGAGGACTAAATTCTTCAAAACAAAGAAAGTGTGAGGAACTAATCCAGATTAAAGGAGATGGAAGACTTGTGACAATCGAGTTCTGCATATGATTCTGGGCTGAGTCCTGGACTGGGAAGAAAAATGTTGTGAAGGACATTTTTAGTCAGTGGACAGAATTATGGTTGGCAGATTAGGTAAGAGTATTGAATGTTGTGTTAAATTTCTTAGAGTTGATCAGCATGCTGGAGTAATATAATAGATGTCCTTATTCTTAGGAAGTATACCTTGTAATTTTTAGGTGTTGAGGGGCATAATTCACAGAGCTTAACCTGAAGTGATTCAGAAAAATATGTATATAGATAGAGAATAAAATCAAATAAGGCAAAATGTTAATAGTTGATGAATCTGATTCAAGGGCATATGAGAATGTTTTGTACTACTTGTCCAGCTTTTGTACACATTTGAAATTTTCCAAATTAAAATAAAATTACAAACAAACAAAGAAGCAAACATGAAAGTAGGTTGGCTTTTGTTTTGAAACATGACATGTGGGTCCCTGAGAACAGTAATGTGAACAACTCGAAAACCCCATGATTCTCTGCTGCCTGCGTCTCAACGTACCGAAACCATTCTCTATAACAGTCTCAGAATTTCTTGCTGAAACTACTTGTTTCTGATGGTTTCATACTAGGATGATATGACTGTCATTTAATAAGCAAAGTAGTCACCCTGATATTTAAAATCCTGCTTCAGGCATTAACATGTTATCAAACGATAATTTGTATAGATAAAAGGAAATTCTAGCCTGCCATATCATAGTTGAGAATCATTTGTTATTGCAAACAATTTTACCATTCACACTGAATTTCTTGCAGAACATAATGGTTTTTCAAGAAAACGCATACGGTCTTCATCTTTTTCTTTGCACACTACAGATTCTCAGTCTCAAGGAGGTAGGTATAATGTTGACTGTCGAGTGTTTACTGTTACGTTTTTAAGAAACTTGTCAAATGGATAATTTTTAAAAGTCCACCCACTGTGTAGTGTTTATAGTATGTGGTTATGTGAAAACTACCGACTATAAAATGGGTTGTACACTAAGTACATCCCACTGATCCACCTTGAAAAAGACTAGAAGGACATAAGCCAGCACATTAGCAATGGTAATTTTAGGTGATGGGATTACAAGTGATTGGGTTTTGTTTTCCCTCTTTGTATTTTGCTGTTTCCAGAGTTTCTGCATTAAGTATATATTAGCTTTGTACCAAAAGTGGCCATTTTCTCCTGAGTATCTACTTAAATAAATAGCTGCCTGTCTTTAAAAAAGACGTTTATTCTAAGAACTTCACCAGAGCCCTGCATCCCGAGTAAATCAGTAACTAGTTTGCCTCTCTCTACACCGAAAGCACTTCCGGTGATTCCTCTTGTAATTGATGGTGTTGTACTCCACCTGGTACTGCAGTTGAGTTGCCTGTCTCCTGTGCTCCGAGTTCCTTGAGGTCATCTTCATCCCTGATCAAGTGTCTTAAACACAGTGAGCACTCAAATATTTACTGAACCGGATGGGCATTCATTTGTAACCCCTACCAGAAGGGTTATAGTTGAGCACACTTTATTTCTATTGATAAAAATATATCTTTCTAAATTAGGGATGTAGAAAATTTTCTGAAACAGCGAAAATCCAAATCAAAACACGAAAGCCCACTTCTTTCCTGACACTACAAGCAGTTTGCAGTCTGCCTTTAGTGCCAACCTTTGTCCCAGAGGTGAATGAGATTGTCACCCTTCACCAACCTCCCAACCTCCCCCTACCCCCATTCTGGGCCAGGTAATAAAGAGCGTCTAGAACCTCAATCAAGCCTGACACTCTGACTTTTCAAAATCCTTTCTCATTAATGATGATCTCTCTTTCTCAGCTACTATAAAATGCTGATATTTTAGCGGCAAATAAAATAGAAATTTCAGCAAAGTATATATGGAAGAATACTTAAAAATGCCACAAACCCAGACAGCATATGTTTATTTTTGGTAGAAAGTTTGAACTTAATGATTTTTTTTTAGGATTTCATGTTTATGATAGGAATATATTTTATAAGGCAGCCTTATAAAATAACTTGCTTTCTTTTTTATTATTGTCCATGTATATGGTTTATAATACAAGAGTATGTAGTATTAAAAATATACAACTACGCATTAGTTTCTTATTCTAAAGTTTATGCTTTAGGCTTATATTTTAAAGTTTAGAATATGATTCTTTTTGTACTTGTCACTAATTAAAACATTCCTTCTTTTTTTTAAATTATAAATTTGAAATGTATAATGCTTTGCTAAGTAAAACAATTTTATCATAATAAAATATTAGAAGTGACTGAAATATTTTTACAGTAAAATTATGGTTTATATCCTTGTGTGTTTTTGTTTCTAGTGAACTGCCCTTTTCAAGTAAAACTTGACACCAGAAATAAAACACATAGACTATTCACTTCCTTTTAACTGATACTCATCTACCTGGGAACCACCAAATATTCACATTAATGAATTTATATTCTTATCAATCATTCCAAACATGACTGAGCAACAATATTCCAGAAACCTTTCAGATACAGAAGAGAGAGTTTCTGACGCAATAGACTTCCCTCTAAGCCGCACTGAGATGTTATAGACATGAGGACCCCGATTCCAGTTCTCACCCTAAAGGATTTTATTGTCTTTGTGCATAAAGTAAAGGGATGCTTTTAAGTTACCTAGATAACTGTTTTAATCCTTTTTATTTTAATCAGACAAAAAAATCAGACACACAGAAAGGAATGAACAAAGAAACATCCATATCAGTAAGCACCATGCTTTTGCCTGTGGTGCAGAATGTTGATGATGTTGAAACAGAAAAATTTTATGATTCTATATAGTCCATTCATTGTTGGTTTCCAATAATAAAGATTATAAATACCATTTCACTGAATTTTGAATTAGAGAAGCAATTCTACCCCCAGAATTTATAATAAATTATAATACTTTAAAGAAGCAATTCTCTGCCTGCCTGGTATAGCTCAGTGGATTGAGCGCGGGCTGCAAACTAAAGGATCACTGGTTTGAGTCCCAGTCAGGGCACATGCCTAGGTTGTGGGCCAAGTGCCCAATGGGGAACACCTGAGAGGTAACTACACATTGATGTTTCTTTCCTCTTCTCTCTAAAAATAAATAAATAAATGAAATCTTAAAAAAAAAAGAAGCAATTTTCCTTTTCCATCTCCATTACTCAAATGCTCAAAGGTCGCTCCTTTTGCGATTTGCAACCAAGAGGGGAGCTTTTTGAAATGCATAATAATTCTAGACTTGTGGCCACAACCACAGTCTTACCTGCCACACATTTCACAGAACGATGACGTATCATAATGGGTTTACTTCTGTCTTCAGGTATGAGAATGGGGAGGGGACAGAATTTCCTAACAATTTTTAAAAACATTTTGTAAGAAATACATATTAATGCACACAGAGTTATCGATTTAGATTTGATAATCTGTATTTCTGTAGAATTTGTCTCAGTACTCTATTTCATGATTCTAAAGACGGCCTATTCTGTTAATGACCTAGTTTCCACTTAGATTTATGAGAGTAAACAGAACAATGTAGCAAACCTCATCTTGCCATCACGCATTTTTAGCGAAATGAGCGGTCTCCTGAGCACTGCCTGCTACTCTATTAGTGCCAACAGTGACCTCTACTGGTGAGTTCAGTACAGGACTGTTAAAACCCATACCATGCCGAAAGTGACCCACTCTCATAGATACGAATTTTTCCAAATATTTTTTCTTGCAGTGAAGGAAACCAATCTCTTTATGACACCAAATCTTGTGCAAAGGAATGTTGACATGAACACTGCAGAACAAGGTATGTAGTTTCTCTATGACAAAATTCTCAGACATTACACTTCACCATCTGTATTTTAATCTGCATATGAGTAGGTGTGTGTTGGGGGTTTGGAGGTAGGGCTGAATGACAAAACATGAAAAAATACATTTGACAAGCCAAGTCCCACTGAAACTGGAAAAGACACCCGAGTTCGGGCTGCCTGTCGCTAGCAAACCCAGTAAGCATAGACAGGGTTTGAATCTTTATGGGCATTTTATTCAGATGGTGGGCAATCTGAGAAGATGGTAGGTTTGTACCCTAACAGACTATCTTGTTTTTTTTTTTTCTTTCTAGGCCAAGGTTTTTATAGCAGGGAATAAACAAGGTGTGGTGAGGGGTTTTGAAATTCAGGGAAGAGTTCATTGGATTTAAACAGCTCCGGCATCCTCGCCCTGGGTGGTGGTCTTAAACTGTGCCCCACAGGGTGGTCTTTAGCTGTGTCCTGGGTGGTGGTCTTCTCACCCTAGAGCACAGTGGCTCAGATATCATCTTGAATTGCTTGCAGTTCTCCAAAAGAAAAAAAGCGGAACTGCTTATGGTCTCCTGGAGTCAGGGTGGGTCATACCTTCAATTCCTGGAACAAAAGCTTTTGCATGCATTGATTACTAAATTTATTAGCTATCACTTAAACAAAAATTTTCCAACTCTTAAGTCCCTTATCACCATGGTCAAAAATAACTAGTTACTGGGTAAAAACTGGGCTGGAGGTACGTAGTAGGCAATTCACTTGCTATTTTGAGTTTGATTAGTTAGCATGAACCCCTCATTTAATGCTGACTTTGGAAAATAATCATTAGATTAGTCAAAAATAAGGACTGAGGAGTATTTCACTAAAGACATATTGACCCTTCAATTCTGTTCTGTTAAGGACCTGCGAGACATTCTGAACATGTCCTAAGGCCTGCTATTTTGCAGCCGCCTCGAACTCAAAGGTGTGAAAAAGTAAAACACAGTGCATTGGAACACTGCAAGACTACAGAAAAAACAAAACATAAGGTAAAAAGACAACCTTCCTTTTGTAGGACTGACCTCGATCCCACATCCTTATTTTGGTAGGTGCTTGTCGGCTCCACAGCCAGAATCAGGGGCTGTTGGAGCTCTGCGCTGTTGCAGAGCCAGCAGCCGAGCTGGGGGACACCTGGACTACAGAACAAAGAGCCCTCGGTAACCTCAATCAACGTGCCCTCTTAAGTTGGAGGGTTGCTCCCAGCATCAAGTCTTGTGGTCTCTCCGAAACTGCAAAACTGAGTCCTAGAGGGTGGGAACCCTTGTGGTCTTGTTCCAGTGCACTGATCCCACCTGACAGTAGAGAGAGTAATGAGGTGGCAGGCGTTGGGATTCAGAAGTCAAAACCAGGGCAGGGGTTTTCTGCATCCCCCACGGCTTTGCTGGTTTAGGTCACACCAGGGATCCACTCCAGACCCATCTTCATGGATAGCAGGAGCAGGGGACTACTTAAACAGTGTAATTGGGAGGGCTTGGGAAGCCACTAGAGGGAGAGAAGAACTCTCACTTCCAGCTCTTGTGCAGGGCTGAACCACACTTCATGGGCGTTTCTAAGGAGACACTGTTTACTCAGGCCATGCAGACATGGGCTTGGGGTGTTCTGTCCTGTAGTTCTAGCTGCATTCTTCAGAGATGGACGCTTTGGAGGAATGAGACACAGGAGCAGTTTGTTGGAATCTGAGAGTGAATTCCATCAGTCATTTATCTACAGCTAAACTACTGAGGGGTTGTCACCTGGTTTTGTTCTGTTTTTCCATACTGATCACAAGAGCAACATGGGGAGTGTTAAGAATACTGGTGATTTCATCAATTCAATGACAAAAAACCAACCTGGCAGTAATCCGACCTCTGCTCTACTATGTTTGCATTCTTGAAACAAAGCACCCAACCTTTTCTTTCTACTACTGAATTAAGGAAGTTGAACTTAGTCAGCATTTGTTAACATTTGTATATTTTTATATCTTTTGGAGGGTTAAGATATGATTTCATGAGACCCATTGTGAACTTGAAAAATCATTTTACCATTTATGTATGGTTTATGATGTAATTTTTAAGTGAAACACTTTAAATTTGGATCAGTCTATGATTAAAAGTTTTCATTTCTAATAATCATACATTTTATCTATTTAAGTAGTGATGTATGTCATTTAATTTTTTAAGTTTATAAGAAAAAATATGTGCTGACTGATTTCATAAATGTTATATTGACTTTGGTTTTGCAACAGCATTACCATAAATTATACACTAAAATTTTTATTACAGGTTACGATATCAAAAGTAGATCAATATTACTTCTTTGGCATGATTTTTTTAAATCATTGCTTATTTAAATAATAAAATTAAATATATTTATTGAATTTTCTTTTTAAGTGATTAAGCATAGGAGAAATTTTTAGGCTATTGTTTGTAAGTATTTATTCTCAAATAACTTAAGGTTATGAATAGAACTTATTCTTAATCAGTAAAAAGCCTAATTGGATATGCCCATCATTGAATTTTCTATTTAATGATGACCTTTGAAGATCTAAAGAGAAGTTAAATGCTATGTAAGAATTCTGACAAAATTAATGTGATTTATAGAGCTAGTGAAAATTATCTCTAGGTGAATTTTATAGAACAATCATTTTATGTTCCTTATTGTAACTCATGTATCAAAATCAGGGACATTTTTATTCATCCTATTGATCAATGCTCACTTATTATATATAATTTAAACAATATATGCCTAATTAAAACTATTTTCAGCAACTAAGAGTAAAAGCTACGAGTTCGGTTGAAAAAGAAATCCTCTGAGTGATGGAGTTGTGAGCATGTACTTTGATCTTTGCTAACTAATGACATATATTCTTCTGATACATATTTCTCAGTTCTCAAATTCTGTTATAACAGGGGAAACACTAGCAATTACGTATAATGATTGATGTAAGATTAAAGTGGAAACACACCTCATCTACCTTTAAAGACATGAAGTCCCTACAATATCTTTGCCAGTCTCTGGTAGGGGAAGGGAGAGGTCCCCACATAACACTGGAGACACTAACTGAGATTGTTTGCAGGGTTCCTTCCAGTTCCAAAGGTGCTCATTCCTTCATCAGTGATGCAGGTGATGTGTGAATGTATGAATATATACATCAGAGTAACCGATTAAGTTACCAGTCCACGGTTTGTAGGAAAAGAGGTGGGGTTTCCCCTCACATTGGATGGTGGTGATGATGAAGCTTTTAGGGTTTTTCCAGGAATTCAGTAGACCTGAAAGATAGATTTACTAATCCGGAAATGAGAATTAACTCCATTTGATTAAAAGGGTAAAAGAAACCAAAGGAATGGGATTTCTGAAATAATATGATGAGGTGTTGAGTCTCTGGTGTCAGACAGACTCAGGCTCAAATGTCATCTGTATTCCTGCTTGTCCAGGCTTAGCCAAGTTATTTAAACTTCTTAGGTCAGTTTACCCATCTGTAAAATGTGGACAATAATAGATGTACAAAGCGCATAGTCTTGTTGTGAGGCCAAAATCATGAAAATATACATATGATGCGTAGGGCAGTACTTCAACATAGTAAAACTTCAATGTACTTAACTATTGTTTCCTTGTGTGATGTCTCCATAGTAAGTAGTTTAAGTGAACTTTTTCATGGATTCTTTTCTTTCAGATTTCTGAGAGAAGCTCCTGTTTGCTAAGCAAAAATTTGCCAAGTGCCAGAATCTCAGTCCAGCTGTCTACTAACCAGAGTTTTAGGGGTGACCCATCAGTAGGGTGAGTGCTGTTCTTTCAGCCCTGCTTTCTTTTATCATTACATTGTAGAAGTAGGTTGCCAGTATTTCTGTGTGAAAGGAGATTTTATAAAAACACAACTTTAAAATGCTTTTCAAAATGTCTCTAATATTTGAATATCATCAGATTAAAATTGGATTTCTCCATTGTCTCGTTGACTTGGAAGAGAATGTTGCAAATAGATATAGCTAAATTTTTATTTAGTGAGGCATTAATTATCTGGCTAGTGGATTAGTCTTTCCTCCTCTCTCTCTGGCATTTTTCCTCTCTTTTAAATTATTTTTTAGCCTTATTTATTGACATATGTTAGAGAGACAATAAAGAAAACCATCTAAATATGCAAAATGGAAGTTAGCATTTACTAGTATCAGCAGTGACGAAGGCATATTTGACCTGAGAGAAGATTAGAACCAGTGTTCGAATTAGGCAACCACACATTGGTGTTTCTCTCCCTCTTTCTCTCTCCCTTCTCCTCTCTTTAAAACCAAATAAATAAAATCTTAAAAAAATTAAAAACAAAAATGTAAAAACAAAAAATAAATCGTTGATGAAAGGGAAAAAAGTAATAGTTACAACAAAAAATAGTTAAACACACACACAAAAATAAATAAAACAGCAAATGCTTATTTCTTTTTTTTTAGATGTCAACCAAATGAAGATAAGTATTCTTTTAAAAGCTGCAGTTCTAACTTCGTTTTTGGAGAAAACATGGTAGAAAGAGTTTTGGTAAGATTTTGGTAAATGTTTCCATTATTATGTAGAAAGCTGTCATTTCAAATTTGTGAAGACAAATTAATTAAAACATTGTTCAACTGGAGCATACTCTTAAACTCCTGAATTCAAAGGCACATTTTCTTTAACTGGAAAGATTCTCTGGGGAAGCTAGTTTTAGTCGTTAGAATTGAAACAGGAAGAGACACCAGAGTTCGGGCTGCCTGTCACTACCAAACCCGATAAGCAATGGCAGCGATGGAATCTTTATGGGCACTTCATTCAGATGGCCAGCCATCTGAGAAGATAGTGGGTTCACACCCTAACAGACCATCTTAAATTCCATTTTAAAATGGCCCTTTTTATAAGGAGAATGAAGTGTAGGTAAGGGGTTTGGAGTTCAGGGAAAAGTTAATTGGATTAAAAAAAAAAAACAAAATAACTCCGGCATCCTTGCCCTGGGTGGTGGTCTTTAGCTGTGCCCCAGGTGATGGTCATCTCACCCTGGAGCACAACGGCTTAGGTAAAAACTTGAATTGTTTGCAGGCCTCCTGAGGAACAAAGGTGGAACTGCTTATGGTCTCCAGGAGTCAGGGTGGGTCATACCTTTAGTTAGTGGAAGAAAAGGTTTTACACACATTGATTACTAAGCTTATTAGCTATTACTTAAACTAAAATTTTCCAACTGTTCAGTCCCCTATCAGAATGGTAAGGGACCCACAGAGGAAAAAAATTGTATAATTTTAACATTACTAATGAGAAATATTATAGTTCTTTTTGTAAAAATATATTTTGTTCATTATGCAATTACATTTGATCCATTTTTCCCCTTCACTCCCCTCCACCCTGCACACCCCCTCCCACCCACATTCCCCCGCTTTAGTTCATGTCCATGTGTCATACTTATAAGTTCTTTAGCTTCTGCATTTTACAAACTATTCTTGCCCTCCCCCTGACTATTTTCTACCTACCATCTATGCCACTTATTTTCTGTACCTTCTCCCCCTCTCTCCTCCTCCCACTCCCCTGTTGATAACCCTCCCTGTGGTCTCCATTTCTGTGGTTCTGTTCCAGTTCTAGTCTGCATAGTTTTTGTTTTTGTTTTAGGTGTGGTTGTTAATAACTGTGAGTTTGCTGTCATTTTACTGTACATGTTTTTTATCTTCTTTTTCTTTTTAAGTCCCTTTAACATTTCATATAATAAGGGCTTGGTGATGATGAACCCCTTTAACTTGACCTTATCTGAGAAGCACTTTATCTGCCCTTCCATTCAAAATGAAAGCTTTGCTGCATAGAGCAATCTTGGATGTAGGTTTTTGCCTTTCATGACTTGGGATACTTCTTTCCAGCCCCTTCTTGCCTGTAAAGTCTCTTTTGAGAAAGCAGCAGACAGTCTTGTGGGCACTCCTTTGTAGGTAACTCTTTCCTTTTGTCTTGCTGCTTTTAAGATTCTCTCCTTATCTTTAATCTTGGCTAATATAATTATAATGTGCCTTGGTGTGTTCCTTCTTAGGTCCAACTTCTTTGGGACTCTGTGCTTCCTAGACTTCCTGGAAGTCTATTTCCTTTGCCAGAATGGGAAAGTTCTCCTTTATTATTTGTTCAAATAAGTTTTTGACTTGTTGCTCTCCCTCTTCCCCTTCTGGCACCGCTATGATTCAGATGTTGGAATGTTTAAAGATGTCCTGGAGGTTCCTAAGCTTCTCCTCATTTTTTTGAATTCTGGTTTCTTCATTCTTTTCTGATTGAATGTTTCTTTTGTCCTTCTGATCCATTCCATTGATTTGAGTTCCAGTTTCCTTCCCATCACTGTTGGTTCCCTGTGCATTTTCCCTTATTTTAATTAGCATAGCCTTCACTTTTACATCTTATTTGTGACCATATTTAACCAATTCTGTGAGCATCCTGATTACCAGTGTTTTGAACTGTGCATATGATAGGTTGGGTATCTCTTCATTGCTTAGTTGTATTTGTTCTGGAGCTTTGATCTGTTCTTTTGTTTGGGCCATTTTTTTTGTCTTGATGCACCTGTTACATAGTGAGGGGTGGAGCCTTAGATGCTCACCAGGGCAGGGCGACCCATTCGCTGGGTTGTGATGCCGTCTGAGGGGGAACAATGGCACTTGCTCTGCTCTCTGCCAGATTTCAGTCACTTCCACCACTTCCCACAAGCAAATTGGGCCCTTGTGGTGCTGATTCTCATGTGGGTGGGTTTGTGTATGTTCTAGGACCCTGTGGGTCTCTCCAATGAACTCTCCTATGAGGCTGGGAGTTTCTCCCGGCACCTCATTCCCCACAGGTGTTTTCAATCAGTGTTTTGAGGCTTTATTTCCCCGCACTGGGACCCTGGGTTGTGAGGTCTGTCTTGCTCCCCAGTTTCGCCTGATTTATCTTGTAATGCACATGTGGGATTGCCCAGTCCACCAGCCACCTTGTGCACCATGCCATCCACAATCCACCACTTTCCTGGGTCCACCTGCTGCCTCCTTGTGCACCAGGGGTCTGCCAGCCACCACTTTGCCCCACATGGCTCTCTCCGCCTGACTCCACCCCTCCTACCAGTCTGGACGAATGTGTCTACTTTAACTCCTTGGTTGTCGGACTGACTGCCTTACAGTTCAATTTTCTGTCGGTACTGGTTGTTGTTTGTTTCTAAATTTTTGTTGTTTTTATTTTGGTTGTGTGAGGAGGCACAGTGTGTCTACCTATGCCTCCATCTTGGCAGGAAGTCTATAGTTCTTGACTTGTGTTAAACCAAAGGCATCCAAGGAAATCCCAGAATTAACTGCAATAGTTACATAAGCTCAACTGATAATGATATTTTAACTAGTTTTTCAATAGCCTTTTTTGTAACAAGCTGCACTTAAAATCTTTGCCATTTCTTTTTCTCATTAACCACCACTTTCCCTTTCTAGCTCTTACACTGAAAAGTGTTACTATAACTTTTGGGCACTGTCTTTTAGAGGAATATCACTTGCCTAGGGGAATATACTTGCTGAGAGGGGATCCCTGAACTATTATTACACTGCCACCTCCATTCAGTATGGAGCATCCTCCTGTCCAAGGAGCCACTGCTCTGCCCTCCTTCAGGCATGACTCTAAAACAACATCATCTATTGGGGAGCTCCGCCCACAAGGCCTCCCACCCAGCTGCCGTGGATGAGAATAAGTCTACCAAGACATGATCTGCTTGGGGAGGAAAGGTGGCCAGTCTCTCAAAGGAGAAAGGCCAGGAACCTGTTCCTCAATAGGCTTTTATTGAGTATATTTGCATAGGAATACAGGTAAAGCTCATCAATCATTGTCAGGCAGTGAGGATCAAACAATAGATAACATACAAAGAACTACTAAGGCTTATTCTGAGTCAGGGTCTGTTAGCTAAAGGCTACAAAACTTCCCTGAGTCAGGGAACCAAACTCATTTCCTGCTCAGACCTTTATCATTTAATTGAGAGCATTCTTAGCAAAGCAGGTTTCACAAGAGTTTCTGTATTCTTTCTCAGGCCTGATCACCCAGGAAACCTGCCTTTTCCAGCACAGGGCTGCACCACCTTCTGTCATTGTTTCAGGCATAAGTCAGGCAGGGGGAGTAAGGCAGCCAAAAGATTAGGAGACTTCTCGCAGACAGAATGAGGACTCAGGCTTCATCAAAGCCAAGGGGCAAGGGTCCATCAACCCCTTTCTCCATAGCCCTCCAAGTTCCGGGGCCTGCACGTGATCATGCCTGTCTTAGGTCGTCCCCCTTTGGGGAATCTTACCCATTATTGGCTAACTGATCAAGCATTGGGGGCCAATTATGAATGAAGTAAAAGGAGCAGCACTTCTTCCAAGGAGATAAGCTTTGTCTCCTTAGTGGCTTATGGTCCTAAGGTTGCTCACTCAACCTTAGCCATGGGGATGGTTATAGCTTCTGAAACCAGGCAGGGCAGTTCCCAACAGCCATACAGTATCATAAATAGCAGAGCAATTACCCTGTCTTTTTCACACAGGTCTTGCTGACAACACATGGGCACAGACCCACACGTGCAGCCTTAAAAGTGATGGTTGGCAAAAACTGTCTTGGAGGAAAATGAAAAGTTTTTCTCTGAAGATGATCTCTGAGACAGCTCAGTGGGTTCTCTGGATAAATTTACCATTAATATTTACTTAATGCAATGGAAAGAAACAGTGAATTGCTGGGAATACTGAAATACCTTGAGATGGACAATGGTTGCACTTCCTTATAGGTATCAGGTTAGCCTGGTGGTAGCGTGGAACAGTTGTCACCGCCTTTTAGGCCTCTGAAGTGCCTCGCATTGTCCCTGAGACTGGATCCCAGCTGAAGTAGGCTGGTGGTCACTGGATTATGCTTCCTGAAGAGCAGTACCAAGGTGCTCTAAGGATGGAGGTGGGGGGAGTGTCCTGTTCAGCAGTCGGGAGCCCAGACAAAAGCACAGCAGTGGGCTTACCCCTCTGTCAAAACAGAAGAACAAAAATGTCTTTTGACTTACCATGAATAAATGAGGGTAGAATTAAGTAATACCTCTTTCCCCCCCACATAGGGTACTCAAAAACTCATCCAGCCTCAACTTGAAAATGATTCTTCTGGCAAGGAAAAAGTATTCAAATCCACTCTAAAACTTCCTATCAACTCTCCAAACTCAAGTAAGAGTTGTTTCATTTGTAAAACATTGGTTTTAATTTGTTTTATTTCCCATATTATTTATTTAATATCTGCAAAATACAAAAACAATAGTTCAGTATTTTAAAATTTGTTGGATAAGTATATAAATATGGTTACATGATATAGAGCTTTTAAAAACTGTTGACTTAATGATATGGGGAATCTTTAAAGAGATATACCTAAACTCAAGAACTTTGGTTTTTTGTAAACACTCATTGTTATAAAAAGCGGAAGAGACAAGTATTTAATAGGGGCAACAAAGAATGTATACAGTAAAGAAATGGGGCCTTTTATGTGTTCTTTTCCCCCTTTTCTTTTAGGAACAGAATCTATTAAAAATATATCCCTAATTGAATCAGCTGCTGCTCTCTCTTCTAAGTCATCACCAACATGTTTGCTGAAGAAGATTGATGTAATAACAGGGGAGGAAGCAGAACATAACGTGTTGAAGGTCTGTATATCCTGCATTGATCTTTGCGGCAGCACTTACATACACAGAATGAAGTTACCATCAGCAGGGGCATCTTTTAAAAAGGCAGAAGTAGCCCTGGCTGGTGTAGTTCAGTGGATCGAGCATGGTTCTGTGAACCAAAGGATCATGGTTTGATTCCCAGTTAGGGTACATGCCTGGGTTGCAGGCCAGTTCCCAGCAGGGGATGTACAAGAGGCAACCATACATCAATAATTTTCTCTCCTTGCCTTCCCCTCTAAAGATAAATAAATAAAAAATCTTAAAAAAAAAATTAAAAGGCACAAATATATAGTTTTCAAGAATACTAAGCTGCTTAGATAAAAATTTTAAACACTTCCAAAAATTAAACCAGTATTTTGTTGTATTCTTCCATTTTGTACATGTATTTGCAGAACAATGGGTCATTGGGTTTACAACCATTCTCACCATTCCCTCAGGAGGAAGGCAGCTCAGAACCCTTCACACAACTTCAACCTGTTTTATGCTTCTCCACTGGCTTGTACGGTCACTGCTATTATCATGTGATTTAAAAATGCAATGTACAGTAAAGGTTTTCAGGTGCTGATAAGATGAGTCGATTTTAGTTCAAGAATAGAACTAAAATAGTAAAAGAATTTTGTTTTCATCTTCAAAGTTTTTAAGGAAGTTTTGGTTTTCCTGCGAGTCAAGAATTTGACACCTGTAGCACACAGTATCCTACAAGGATTTGAATGTTGCTTGATCTAGGTATCAGTCTAGGTGGTGAAAAGAGATTACTACAACTTAACCATTTTTTTCAACCAGGCACCAATTTCTCTTCATCTTTCTACATCTGCTCTTCTACCGAACTCCCCCCTTTCCTCTTCTCATCCTCCACAATCTACTAAGACATCTACTATACAACTGTGTCTCAAAGGATAGCCTTGCATCTGTTTAGCCCTAAACTCCTCAAAGCAATTGCTAGGGGTGAGAGCCTGGCCCCGAGTCTTCTAGGTGATTCATGTACACAGTGGTATTTGAAAAGCCCTGGTATTTTAAATTGTAGTAGGGTATTCGGGTAGCATATCTTAGTTCTCATGCTATAATCTCTAAGATATTTTAAGCATACAAATAGTTTCAGGGTTATTTTTGAATAAATCCCGTAGCTCGAATAGCATTGTTTAATTTAAAAGTTGGTGTGTATATATAGATATACAGTGGCAAAAGTAGTTTACAGTTGTTCATATGGAAAATAATACAATAATTAAGAAGTAAGATAAGAATTAACTGTTTTATGTGCTCATTACTATAAACTGTATTGTTAAGTGAAAAAGCAAGATACAGAAAGTAGTACGATATTCTACCATTTACAGAAATGTGTGTGTGTGTGTATATATGTACACATATATATACATATATACATATATATATATATATATATATATATATATATATATATATATATATATATCTGGAAGGATAAACAAAATATTAGCGATAGCCGTTACCTGTTGCAGGGCATGGAAAGCCCAGATGGGAAACTAGGGTTGGGGAGAGACATCTCCCTTTTTACATCATCTTGTTTTTTGAAGTTTGAACTGTTCAAAACTAGTATGTTTTTAAAAGTTAAATAACATTTAAAAGAGGATGTATAAATCACTAACAAAGATTACTCTGGTAAGAGATCAAACAAATAAAAGTATAGGAAAGAATTTGAAAAACACTTTCTATGTCCTTGACATTGTAAAATATTGTCCTTCAGATCAACTGCAAGCTTTTTGTATTCAACAAAACGACAGAGTCCTGGACGGAAAGGGGCCGGGGAGCCCTGAGGCTGAACGACACAGCCAGTGGCGACTGCGGAGTCTCCCAGTCCAGACTAAGTAAGGAATCATTTGTTCGGCAGGGTGCTGTTTCTCAGGGTAAAACTTGCAATGCAGATGTGTATCATTTTCTGGAGATGCGTTATGAAATATGTCAATAAATCAGACGGTTGAAAACAATATTGTTCCCAGTGTACTGTAGGAGCTTCCTGTTTAGAGTAAGTCTGATATCAGAGTTCACGGGTACCAGTTCTGGTTCCCACTGACTGGTGACCTTGGACAAGTTACTTACCCTCTCTCTGCCCTAGCCGTATCATTTTAAGATGGGATAATATTCCATAACTTACTGATTATGAGAATTCAGTGAGATAATGCATGTAAAGTACCTGTGACAGAGCAAACCACATACCTAAATCATAATTCATTATTAATTAAAGGAACAGGATATAAATTATTTAGAAAGTAAAAATAGTTTCTTTAAAAGAGAACATTTGCCTTCTAATTGACCCTTGCCATTCTAAACACAGTGTGTGGGTTGGGATGAAGGGTCAGTTGCTGTAGAAAGGTCCCCATTCTGGCAAAGCCGAATGGTAATCCTTCACATGGCTGCAAGGGTCCCCACTCTGGCAAAGCCGCGTGGCTCTCTTTTTCACCTGGGCAAGAGGGGGTCTGCACTCTGCCAAAACTGTGTGGCTCTCTCCTCAATGGCTGCCATGTCTGGGTTTAAATCCCCGAGCCAGTCCTCCTTTGTATTCCCATTTCTGACTGTTCCTATACAATCAGTTACACCTGCCAGGACTCCCGTATCCTCTCAGCTTTACTGGGCTGCCATAGTGAGTCTGGGCAGGTGTGATCCCATGGCGTGGAGCCAATCAACTCCAAGCTCTCACGCAGGTACTATAACTCGGGGGTGGGGGGGGGGACCAGCCTCCAGTTACTTCCTGGATAGAAGTCACTTCCTTCTCCCTGGCTCAAAGCATGGCCACAGCTATTTAACATATCTATGAAACCAGTTAAATGTTATAGATATGTTAAATGACCATTCCAGAGGTTAGCTGCCAAACTGTTGCTATGCAAAACAGCTCTCAATGGCCCTGCTCCATTTGTCCCTTCCCCCTGGGAGGAGGGTGTTGAGGACATCTTAATATTTCCTGGAAACCTTGAGTTCGGGACCCCATTCCAAATCCCTTTTTTTGTGGCCTCCCCACCCCCCCTTCAGCCTGTTACAAAAATACAATCTGAAAAACCAGTACAAGATTTACTTTGCTTTCAACAAAGGGAAATTCCCCTGGAAGGCTGAGAAAGCAATTGTTCCGTGGCCTGAGGAATTTACCTTCCTATTTTAGTTATGCGAAACCAAGGCAGCCTGAGGCTCATTCTCAACAGCAAACTCTGGGCTCAAATGGAGATTCAAAGAGCGAACCACCAAAATTTACAAATCACAGCTACTGATTTAGAAGACTGTAGCATCAAAGTGTTTTTAATTCAGGTAAGTAATAAATTTCAATGATAGAGGATTACCCACCCTACTATATTTATAAATCTCTGTAATTACTAATTTTTTTCATTTTATTATGATAATCTGTACCATTAGCAAAAAATCAGCCATTCATTTTTGTTGTTTACAGTCTAATGCGACCTAAATTTTATATGAAATTTAGAAATTAATTCCATAATCTATAGTAATCAATTGGTACCTGTCCTGAGACATTTTTATTGATACATGCCATCAAGCCTCTACATTTTTCTTTGCTAATTGAAATTATGTCAAAAATCTTGCTAAGTTACTGAAGAGACTGGTGTCAAGATTGGCTCCTAAGAAGTTAGCAGAATCCACAGCCCGATGCTTATACTGAATGCTGAATTGAGAAGGCTTTGAGATCACTGGAAAGGAATAGTGAGAAATGGAAAATCACAGGGCTAGCAAGTTAACCAGTCCAGCAGCGAATTCCAATTCTGGACATGAGTCAGTCTCCAAGGTAACAGGATGGAGCACAGCTCTGGCTGTTCCCTGCAACAGGAGGGCTTGACCTTAAGCACAAGATATCCAGGCATAAGAGAGAGTGCTGTCAGGAATCAGGTCAGAAAAAAAGGCTGGGTCTCCCCTGTGGGCCAAGACCCAGAAGGCTGGAGAAAACTGAGTACCCAAGTGACTTAGACAGACAGTGACAATACGAGGATATTGGCTTCCATAGAGTAATGGAAATTAAAAAACAAAAACAAAAATGTTGACAAGTGACCACTGAAGAAAAACCGAATATTTTATAAACTACCAGTAAGTGCACTTTTAGGTGCAAGTGATGTAGAGTATTAAGGTGTTAGAATAAGATGATGCCCGAAACCTGTTTATCACTTAGGGGGATGATTCCCTGTCAGCTCAGGTTACTGCCTTTGAATTAGTCAAGCAGCCTGCCTGAGACAAACTGAGATGAGACTGTTAACTACAATTAGATTCTGCTGTGCAGTACTGGACCCATGCTGCCTTTTTTAAATTATAGGACACTTTTTAGAGATAAGCAAATTAAATGCAAATAAAAATTACCCCAAATTCTACTCTGAGAGATGGTCACTATTAACATTTTGGTCCATACTGTGTGTGTGTACACACACACACACACACACACACACACACACATATAGTATGTATATTACAAATGGTACATAACTCTGTGACCTTCAGGCAAGTTATTTATCCTTCCTTAACCTGATTTACTCATCTGCCAAATGAAGATAATAATAATGTACTCTATAAATTGGTTGAGAAGATTAGATAGCTAATATTTGACTATAAAATACATATGTGTAAGCTTTTTTCATTTATCAATAAAAATCAGTGGTTTTGTGTCATTAAATAGTAATTCATGCTTCAAAAATTCTTTTATCAGGCAAAAAGAATTCTATTGTATTATGCATCCTAATTCATTCCATTAATCCCACTTTGTTAAATACTTAGGTAATGTACTATACTTCATTATTATAAATTCTGTTAAAAAGCTGCAAGAAACTCTCTGTCTACATATACATTATCTTTTTTTTCTTGGGAAAAGTTTTTGACTTTGTTTCGACAAATTTCTCTCCCCAAAGACTGAACCAGTTTTCATTCTCACCAGCATTTTCTTATGGTGCTTCCTCAGAATTATAATTTTTTATACATTGCAAATTTGTTATTGAAAAATATATTATTTTATTTTTAACTTCTAGTTCTGAATTTCTTAAATGACAACATCTGAGTGAATTTGTCAAAAGGAAATAAATACTTTACCTAGTAAAAGATATATCTAAAATTTAATGTAAAAAAGTTAAGGAAGCATAATAGTATTCATATTTCAATTAGAGATATTCTTTCAATATTTGTTATTAATTAGCTTACTAAAGAAAAATTACGTCTTTGCATGTGATATAAAAATTAAATTAGTCAAGTCAACAACTATTTACTCAACAACTACTCTGTAATATCATATACAATATGAGAAACAAAAATATTTTATTGCATTTATATTTATAGTTTTTATCCACAGATACTTAAGGCAACTTAAGAACATGCAAATGAAAAAATATACTTTTAGATCCTTCTCCCAAAAGTTGGCATATGGTTGGTTTAACCCTCAGTTTTGGGTTTTAAAATGTTTGATAACTCTCTGGAGCATTAGCAAAGAAAAAAAATCCCAGATTTTCTTTGAAATTTGAAAAGATACAAAAATGTAAGTACTGCCATGTTACCTTAAAGAACACTGAGTTAGATTGTTATAGGAAAATGAAGCGACCAGACACCGAAGGATTCTGGAGTACGAGGTTTATTATTTAACGTGCACGGGCCCAAAGGAGTCAGTATCCAAATTCTGAGCCGCGAACAAAGGATTCTTGGGGAATATATAGATTAGGGGGTCTTCCTGTCTACGTGACAAACGTGGGATACAGAAACAGAATGTGATAATTGTTCTATCAGCGGGGGTGCTAATTCCAGTCCTACTGACTATCCGGCCACCGCCCTCCCAGACGGCCCCATCATTCTCTCTAGGGCGTCTGGGGCCTGGGCAAATAAAGGTTAAACAGAGGTTTTTCAAAGTTTCCCATATCAAGATGACAAAATCCTGGGATTCCTTACCTCGGACAATTTGCCACGAGCTGTAGGAAGTCAGACAAGCCTGAACGCCTGTGCTAAATAGAGTGGGAGTCTTTTCCCATCCCCCAGATTCTACAGCTTCCTACAGGGCGAAATTGGTGGAAGAGGGGTGGTCTTCACAAAGTTAAACTCAAACAGAAATTTTAAATAAAAAACTTTCATTTTCTCAGATTGAAGTGCACTCATTGGGATGTCTTACGCAATTATCCAGTTCAGGCTTCAGTTTTGTTCAAGATAAATTGACATTTTACCCTTTTAGTTTTTAGATTTATTACATGTAATTCCTTCCTTATTCGGAGTGAAAGGTAAAAAAAACCCCAAAACCTTAAAATGTGGCTATTGTTTAGTTATTCATAGGCTTTCTTAATTTTCTTCTCGCAGGCCAACGCCAAAGACACAGCGTCTCTGTACGCAGCGATCCACCACCGCCTGGTCGCTCTCAGGAGCTTGAATAAGCAGAAAGACGCAAACCCAGCCGAAGGCCCTTCTGAAACGGCCTTCTCAGGATTAAACTGCGATAGCTGTGATGAGGACGAGGATGATTTCATCCAGGCTGCTAAAACTAGATCAGGTAAAGACGTCAGGGTTTAAGAAAGAAGTCTGAAGCACAACCCTAATACATGAAGTAGATTTTTAAAAAGTGGGTCTGCCCCGTTCCTAGAGTGGAGGGGAGAGCTCATGGTGTTTGGATCTCAGGAGCGGGTTTGAAAATCTGTCTTCTACTTGGGCCTTTGTTAGGATTTTACCAAAAGTCAGCCTCATTGTGATGCCTGCATGTCACCTCCATATAAACTGTATAAAAGACCATTTTACAATTTAAAGTACTAATTGCTACCCCGAGACTAACCATTTATTTATATTTCTTTTCATTTGTTCTCATTCTTTAATCATTGGCCATAAGTTATAAATACTTGTAAGGGAGCCACTAGGGAAATCTGGCTTGAAATATCAAAAAAACATTTTTATTCCCTTTTTGGAATCTGACTGCTTTATTTTTCAAAGACTTTCTTTGGTGCAAAACAAATTATTCCTTTCATTGTGTCAGGATTCATGAACCGAGCAAGGATGAAGTGGAACCAGTAGTAAACAGACTTTTCAGATTTGGTGATTTAAAATTAAAGTTCATCATTATTTTTCATTGGTATCCACTAAAAATGTTTACTTGAAAGAAGAATTAAATGTCAAAAGTCTCATCAACAAATGACCTCTTTATGCAATCTATATTTTTTAATATGCAACTATCTTCAGATAAGACGAGAAGCAATAGAAATAATGCAAAGTAAATATCAATCATACGAACCCCCTTCTCCTTTCCCTCTTTCACTTAGTACCTTCTGCAACAGGTGTTGCCTACAAATACTAAAATGTTATGAAAGCAATAAAAAGTCTAATATTTAAAACTTTGTTGCCCATAATTTAAGGAAGAGTTTATTTGAAAATGTCATGTTTGAAATTAGCAACATTTCCAGATGTTGCTCGCAAAAATATGAATTCTACCTATTTCATTTCCTCACCATTAAGCATATTCTTGAGTATCCCTGTTCAGTTGAATGCAATATTAAGTTACTGTGAATGCTGTGTAATAAAATAGTTTAAATCTGTATCACAGATCCTTCCAGGTGGACCCACCGGCAGTCAGTTGCCTGTTCGTGAGTGCTGCCTGCTGTAGACACAGCAACATCTGCACAGAGACTGGTCACGAACGGAACCCACTCGGCCATCGTAACTAAATGAGAAGATCCTATTCACCCCTTGAAAAGTTTCAGTAGAAAGTTCATGAAATATAATTTGTTGCAATTAAAGTTTTTCTCTCTGTAGTCTAATAATTCTGAAGTTTTGCATTTTGATCATTGTGCGTTGTGGAGAAATGACAATTTAAGAAATATATGGACTTTGGAAGTTCAAAATTTGTCAGTTTTGAAGAAGTCCTATTCAGAATAGGACTTGATAAGTAATTTGCACTATTCACCACATTGATGGATATAATAGTTACAATTAGAAGTTGCTGGATTTGATATCTATTTTTTTTATTTTTTCAGTCATACTTTGGCCATAAAACAATTTTTTTTCTTTTACAAAATCCAGTCATTTCTTTGCAAACCATTATAACTGCATAATAACATTTTATTAAATCATATGTGTCTTCTGGGAAGTGTGTACTTTCATTTAGCCTTTGGATTTCCTAATACTCTAAGATCATATGTTCATGTATTCCTTTAAAAATAGCATTTGCCCTTGGACTTGTATCCATTGCACCTCGTATGTGCTTGCCTCATGGTCACCCTCCAACAGTTGTTGAAGGAATGAACAAAATACATTACCTATGCACCAAAATCGTAAGTATACAAAAACTGGAATATTTTGACTTGTTCTTTGCTTTATTTATGTAATTAAATTGTTATTAATATTCTACCTGGTATAGTTCTACAGACCTTTTTTAAACAAATATATCCATGCAATTTTTTCTTTAAAAACTCAATAGTAGTTTCAACAATTGTGCGACAGTGTTTGGATGCTCCTCTTGATTTCTGTTTCAGAGACAACGCGTTACACAACCAAATTGGTCTCAGTGCTTAGACCTCTATTTCATTTTTCAATCCAGTTTGATCACCCCTTGGCTTCAAAATGACTTTGTCTTAAAAAGATTTTATTTATTTACTTTTAGAGAGAGGGGAATAGAGGGAGAAGGAGAGGAAGAAGAACATTGATTGGTTGCTTCTTGTAGGTGCCCCTTCCAGGGAGGAACCTGTAACCCAGGTATATGCCCCAGCTGGAAATCAAACCAGTGACCTTTCTCTTTGAGGAACACAAGGCCCAACCAGTGGAGCCACAGAGGTCAGGGTGGCTTCAACATGACTTTTGAATGTGACCCCTAAACAATTTCCCTGTTAGAGGCTTCTTAGTCTTCTAGGGCCACCCAACAAAATATCACAGACCGGGTGGCTCAAACAACAGAACTTTATTTCTCACAGTCCGAAGGCTGGCAAGGGAGGTTTTTTTCCCTGAGGCCTATGACAGAGAGAGAGAGAGAGAGAGAGAGAGAGGGTGTGCTCTCTCTGGTGACTCCCTATCATCCTGGCAGACCAGGGCCCCACCCTCATACCCTCATCTAACCCTAATTAATTACCTCCCAAAGCCCCATCTCCAAACATCATCATCACATTGGCGGGGGGGGGGGTAAAGCTTCAACATATAAATTTTGCAAGAACATAAACATTCAGTCTATGACAAGGGGTAAGAGTCACAATTCCAAAGTGACTTCCAAATGTTTTGATATTTGAAAACTATGGCATGGGAGGAGTTATTGAAATCACTGGCACATATTTAGCCTGAAAAATACTTGATACATAATAATTTTCAAAAATTAGAGGTTAGCAGAGCTTCTTAATTTCTGCTAATTTAGTGGACATAAAAGGCTATTTCACTATTACCTTAATTTGTTTCTGTCTGATTTCTAATAAGGTTCAATGTGTTTCAGATATTTATTCCCTGCTTGTGTTTCTTCCAAAAAATTCCTGTTCATGATCTTTGCAAAGCTATGTGTGTCATTTTCTCCTTTTAGTGGCTTCCTAGCATATATGGGATAAAAGCCACGTTCCTAAGCATGAATATAATACTTTCCATGTCCTTTTCCCTGTCTACCTCTCTAGCCTCACCTCCCACTGCTGCTCTTCCTGCCTCTGAATTCTCTAGGGACTCAGGAGTGCTATTTCATTGCGCCATACCTTTGTGCAATTTGCTTCTCACTCTTGCTAATTCTGGCTAGTATCTACTCATTCTTTAAGGCTTGGCTCATCACATTTCCCAAAAGCTCTCCCTAAAGGTGAGTTAAGACCTGTTCCTTCAGATTCCTGAAGCATTCTGTGTATCAACTTTATGCTCCTTAAGGAAGGAAACTACTTTTTATTTACCATTTAATCTCCAGCACCTAGCTGCCCGCATGGTCCCTGGCCCATAGCGGGCAATCAAATATAAGTTTGATCTCCATCAACAAGTGTTGTATGTATAAAGCTCAACAGAAAGATTAAATAAGGATTTAAAGCTCAAAAGTCTAGGCCAGGGGTGTCAAACTCATTTTCACCAGGGGCCACATCAGCTTGGCGGTTGCCTTCAAAGGGCCGAATGTAATTTTAGGACTGTTGTAAATGTAACTACTCCTTATCTAGCAGCAAGGAGCTCAGTGCTGCTGCTGGGTAGAAACAGGGTGCCAGGCTGGATGAAACGGTGCCAGGCTGGATAAAACAAGGTGGAGGGCCAGATCCAGCCCGTGGGCCTTGTATTTGCCACCTGTGGTCTAGGCTAAAGATACTGGTAGTAGCTAAAGTCATGGAAGGGAAAGGGGGCTAATATTTGCCAAGCGTATACTTTGTAATGGGCACATGTTGAGGCTTTTGTACATATATTTGCAACTTCATAAGGTAGCTGTTACATTGTATAAACAAAGACGTAGGATCAGAAAGGTTAAGGAACCGGTCCAGGTTGACAATGGTAATAAATGATGAAGCTGGGGTTTGAACCAAGGCCTTTTAAAGTCGGAAGTCCAAGCTTTTTCCATTACACAATACTGGATGAACTCATGCAGAAGAGTGGAGAGAGAGAAAAGGAAAGGGGAAGGAAGGGGAGGGAAGAGAAGGGAAGGCTAGATCCTGAAGATGAGCTCAGGAAGAACCTGAAACCAGAACAGAGAGATGGGAGGAACACCATCAGAGACCGGTTTGTTGAAAGCCAAAGTAAAAAATTCCAAGAGAAATGAACTATTTTAAATGCTGCATAAAGATTGAGTCATTTGAGATGAAAAAATTTTTATTATACATATGAGCATGTTTAAGTATGAAGAGGAGAATCCAGTACAGAGAGAATTAAAGTTACATTAAAGGGGATAACTTGCTGGAGTAGCCTATCTGAGGACATGGAAGGGAGGGGAATGCAAAAATAACATTGGACAAAGGGATATCCAAATGAGAAGATGTCCGTGTGGGGAAGTTTGTAGCTGGAAATGGGGGAGAACCACAATTTGAGTTCTCATCTGTGAAATGGGAAGAGAGGAGGTCTGAAATTTCACATACACAAGGTCAAACCCACAGACTTTGATCCCAAACCAGTTTTCTGGATTCATTTTTTTCTGTCAAATGGATCATTGACAATACACTGTACATTTAAGCTTCAACCTGCTGTGTCACCTGTGACTGCTTCCTTTTCTTCCTTCCTAATACCTAATGAATTACAAAGTGTTAGAACAGTAAAAAAATAGAAGGGACCTTGAGAATGTTCCAGTTATGACATTCCACAGAAATTAAGAGGTATGGTTAAGTTTCTAAGTCATTATTAGCTGCATTAAGGCAAAGTTCCTGGTCAGAAGGGCTCAGTGACCTACTATAAGGAGGTATCTACCACCTTCTGTGGTGTATCTGCCAATTTAATATACTACCTGGAACACAGCAGGGGATCAGTAAATATTCAGTGAATCCATGAATGAATGTTGGTGGTAGTAACCAAGAGTCACAGATTCATAATCAGTTTGGGCTTGATAGCACCCTGGTATCCCTGTAGTTCAGCTCCCCCATTTACAGATAAGAAATCTGAGGCCCAGACAGATGAAGTAACCTGACCGAAGTCCAAAGCCAGTTACCGAGAGTGCTGGGACTACGGAGAAGCAAAAAGTGTGCCAGAGCTAGTGGATCTAAGGGACACGAGGTATAAACACTAGGGTGTGCACCGCCATTGGAATCTACTCTTATAGTAGAAGAATCTTCTTCCATTTCCATTACTACTTCCCTAGCTCAGGTCCATGAGTAACTTCCAACAGCATTCCAGTCTCCCTTCTCTTGCCTCCAATGTGCTCAACATCCCAAAGCCAGATCAATAATTGTCAAACATTGCTTTCAGGACTCACTTTTTTCCAGTTAAAACCTCGCAAAAGCTAGCTATTACTTATACATAGGATAAAGCACAAATCACTAACATTCTTAACCCTTAATCTTCCCAAGTATTGGCAGAAATGCTGCACTTGGCCAGAGTCTATCCATTAACCTCCAACTTCCTCAAGGGCTACCCCTGTCTTTCTTCCTCCAGGCTGGTTTTTTTTTTTTTTTTTTTTGTGGTCAGCAGGGGCTGCAACCAGTGCATTCCCATAAGGTCCCATGCTTGGGTGGGCTCAGCACCTACCTTACTTGCTCTCTTGCAATTTCTAATCATTTCTGAACAAGGGGCTTCACATTTTCATTTTGCCCTCAAATTGAGCAGCTGGTCCTGGAAAGGTCTGCTCAGCCCCTAGCCCAGCTTTGTAAATATCAGCCATCCAACACGCATTGGTTGAACGAACGAACAAAGGGTTTAGACACATGCGGACCAGTGTTAAGTGCAACTATGAGAAAGGTCGGAACCTTGACTTGGAGATGCGTGGCCCAACTCTTCCCGCCCAACTCTCAAAACCCCACCCGCAGCCCCCTCGCGGTCTCAGACCGGTTCCAGCTGGATTCCTTAGGGCAGCTCGACCGCCAAATAGAATCCTAGCCCTTCCTCTAGCTGCAGCCAATCGCCGCAGCTGCTCCGGCTCCGAAACCGCAGCGAGTTCCGATTGGCTGACAGAGTTGGAAAGGGGCTGATTGGCCGACAGAGTTGGCTCGCTAGCAGGAAAGGGGGTGGAGCGGGAAGTTGGCTCTCTAGTGGCGACGCAGCCTCTGCGCAGGCGTGGATGGAAATGCATGCACAAACAAACAAAACCCACCATCCTGAGGCCTCCGGCTCTTCCCCGCCTACCTTTACCTCCCATCGGCTCTCCCTCCTTCCAATCGGCCGCCTTTCTCCTCCCCCGTCTACGTCTGGGCATGTGCCCCTCGCGGCGCTGGCCACGCAGGGGCCTGCATTTAACCTTTGGCCGCCCGGCGCGAAGTTAGAGGCTGGGCTGGCGCGGGCAGCACGCACACCTGGGGCGGGAGCAGAGGCGGGAGCCCGGGCCTGCCTGTAACCTCCGCCGGGCGCAGGATGACTTGCTACAGAGGCTTCTTGCTGGGCAGCTGTCGTCGCGTAGCGGGCGGCCGGGCGGCGGCGCTGAGGGCCCCGGGCGCTGGAGGCCCCGCCGCGAGACCGCGGCTCGGCGGTGACGGCGACTGCTGGCGGCACCTGGGGCAGGGGCAGCCACGCGAGCTGGCGGGCTGTGGCAGTCGTCCCGACGGCGGCTTCCGCCCGTCCCGGGTGGTGGTGGTGGCCAAAACCACCCGGTACGAGTTCGAGCAGCAGCGCTACCGTTACGCAGAGCTCTCGGAGGAGGACCTGAAGCAGCTGGTAGGTCCCGGCAGCCCTCGCCCTGTGTCGGGGCCAAAACCTCTTCCCCGAGGCGCTCTAGATACTTTACCTGCCCTGCTCGCGGCCCCACTCCCGGCTTTGCTCGTGGATCCTTTCCATCCGTCGCGCGCGTGAGTGTGTGTGTGTGTGAGAGAGAGAGAGACAGAGAGAGAGACAGAGAGACAGAGCGCTAGAGAAAAGAGGGTCGCTGTTCGTGCAAACGCCCCCAAAGTGGGGGCGTCTGGAGGAAGCCGTGGTAGGGGGACTAGGAGCTCCCGCATTTGGAGGGGTTTGGATTCATTTGTACCCTCGCCACCCCCACCCCCTTATTGGGAAGAGCTACAACAGCCCCAAGAGAGGTTGGCCGGTGACTGACGCGTGGACGCTCAGGAAGGAGCTTCCCAGACCGCCCGGAGAAAGCCAGACCCCGGGCGCAGCTGCCGGGGCGGAGGTACCGCGGACACACCCCCTTTTACTCTGCAGGACTGATCCGGGACACTCCGTAAAGCCGGTCCGGGCGAGCCTTTTCCGTGCTGGAAAGTAGTGGTCCGACAAGGGTGCGGCAGTGGGTTTTAAAAGCGCACGTGTCTTTGGTGTTGAGAAGAGCAAGGGAGAAAATTTGACTTTGAATATGTTATTAAGTAGTAGAGTCAAGACAAAGGGTAGCCAAACCTTGTAATTATGAAATAAAGAGCCGACGTCTATAATGTAGCAGTATCTCCACTAAAGAGTATATTTGGTATAGACACTTATTAATATTTTTACAAGTTATATAAATCCACCCAAAGAAGAAACCTTGAATATTATCCCCGTTTCCCCCTTTTTTTTTTTTTTGAAACTATTGATCCCAGGTCCTCATCCACCAGCTGTAGGGAAAGGAGGATAAGGATGCTTCCATGAACACTATGTCTAGACAGATCTCTGTTGGAAATTTATAATTGTTGATACTGCAACAAAAGGAATTAATTGCCTATATTTAAATCTTGGTAGAATTCTGTAAAAGAGTAGCCAGCCTGTTCTAAACTGCTGGATTGTAATCTTCAGCATATTTTTGGTAATATTTTGTAGAGGAATTCAAATAAAATTTAAAGTGCTTAAAGTACTCTTAGGCATTAAACTTCTTAATTTTTTAATGGTTTAATTGAAGAGGGACCCTGCATTCATCTGATGAAATGCTGGGTGCGAAATTCTTAAGTGTTCGAAAACACTTAAGTGTTTTCTTAAGTGTTTGAATGTAGCAATTGATAGAAAATAGTCCCTTTTAAAAGAGGCAACCAACAAACAGGTTGAACAGGAGGTTGGGGTAGTTAAGTTTGTGTTGTGGTGTGGAATTGGGGAAGAGGCGGAGAATAACAATATCAGAAGCAGGTGTTTCTGTTTTGGGAAAAAGGTACATCCCTGGGACTGTCCTCTTGATTTTATAAGATCTACTGTTTAGAAATTGTCACATGCTGTATACCCATAAATGTGTTCTTCATACACCTTTATGGAAGCCACCCACAACAATTAGTACGCTTGATTGGGGTGTTAAAGAGTGTGTGGTTGGGAGTTAGGAGATTCTGCGTAGTTAATTTCCTATGAGTATTTTTAATTTATCTGGGACTGATGGGTGAAAAAAATTTTTTGTGTGTGTAGTATTGCCCGTTTTCAACTTGCTTTTACCTACCTAGTTCGGTATACGAAGTACCAGGGTTGGACTAGATAATCCTCCAAGGCCCTAGAAAGGCTAGCATTTTGAACTTGGTGAATTTTTTCAAGACCTCAGGAAAAGGGGTGGCATCTGAATTAGATTAAGTCTTGCACCTGTGAAATGGATGGCCACTAATCAAAACTCTTTAAATGTAGGCAAATCAGTAATTCCTTAAAAATCGAACTGTTTACTCAGTACCTGAAGAGAAATCTCTAATGGGTAAATATTTGTCTGTTGCTAGCTAATGTTGTTCAGGATAAGAAAACTTTGAAGTAACACTTCTGGACTATAGAACATACTGTTTTGAAATAGTTGTTATTTCGATTAAATTTTACTGGGTTAGTTTTGTCATTTATATTAAGGTCGTTATTCAGAATGGAAGAGCATTAGGTAGATTCCCAGACCAGAGATCAGGAACAGGACAAAGAGTACTACCAGGCTGTGTGAAATTGTTCTAAAATAGGATTCTGTATTAGGAGTGGAAAGGTGATGAATATCGTTGCTGTTTTGTTGGGGGTAAAAGATACTAAAGGATACGAGTCATGTGAATTGGGTATAAAAGAAACGGCAAAGTGTTCATTTGAGTTTTGGGGCCTGGTAGTTTTTTTGTCTGTAGCATCATGGTAACCTGAAGTTTGTAGCAAGGGTTCTCTTTTTTTTGGTAGTGACTGTGGTTGTTTTGTTGCTAATACATCTCAATTAAGTTACTCACATTAGGTGTTAAAATGCAAAGGGGAGATGAGGGATGCAATGCCAGTATAATTTTCTATCCTGAAGCCTTATATTTTTTTCTCACATTGTAGAAGTGCAGACAATTAAAGGAAGTACTTTTTAGTTGATAAAGAATGTACGAAAGGTTTGCATCCTTTGAATTTCATCAGAGTTTGAATTTCAGTTTTCCTTTCATATTTGTTACATTGCTTAATTTTTAAGGCTTGCTTTTGCCCTCCCCTAACGGATCAGTGACTTTTCTTATGAATTTCGGATTTCTAGTTAAGAATTTTATCTCTACTGGCTCATGACCTTGCAAGGATTAATGAAATCATCCTAAGAGATGTAGCTGTTGGCAAATGTGGAACTGTCATTAACAGTCTAAGAGACTCACAGATTAGACCTTTAGATGAATCAAAGCTGATTGGAAAGGTTTTTGACGTCATAAACATGCCTTATTGGCCAAAAAGTTTTAATTAAAAAATATTTTGATATATACTAAATAAAAAATGAGCAGTGTCCACCCTGTACTCCTCCAGCTGCAAAGTCCTTTTAATGGTTCTCATTTATAGTGTTAAAAAAATTATTTTCAAAAAGGGATAGAGTGATTTCATCTAGCAGCCCCTCTATTACAGGATTAAACTATTCCTGGCTATTGCCTTGTTAACAGATGTGGGAGATGTAGCACCTTGGATTCAGTTTCCCTCACTCTGTTTTCTGCAAACAGTAGTGTAGCTTAGGTTATATAGTTCTCGGGCAGATAATACTTTTGCCCCGTGGTGTGCAGTGAATATAGTGTGTGCAGCTTGGGTGTTTATCAAGTTAAAGAACGTGATCTGGGATACTGCCAGAGCCCTCTAACAGAAACCTCACTTCTCAAATCTTGGAGACACAGGCACCAGTGTGGTGTATCTGAAGTGAACATCTGGCCACTTGACTCTTCTCCTGAGAACTCCTCAAAGCTCCCCATAACCTGTAGAGTCTCCTAGGAAATTTGTTAAAGTGAAGATGCCTCAACCTAAGTGCTTCTGCCGCTCCCTCCCCTGCCCCCCCCCCCCCCCCCCCCCAAGATTGTGATTTCCTTTGTGGAGAACTCTCAGACTCTGCCTTTCTGAACCATGCCCTTAACGGTTGCTGGCTCGGCATTTTAAAAATAGGTTCTCCAGGTTTGCAAGTGGTCGGTCCCTAGGTCACACTTTGAGAACACATTCCAGTAGGTGAACCTACATGATCTTTAGCTGCCAAACGAATCCCTTTGTGAACTGGCTCCTGTCTATCTGTTGAACTTCATTTCTGATCAATTCTTGTCTTCTTTCTTTCCAGAAATAATCTGCACATACAAATCAACACAGTGAAATATGTCCTTTGTCTCATCCTGTTTTGCTCAATAATATTTACTTAAACTATACCTGTTTTTTTTGTATGTGTGGTATTTCATTGTCTGCAGATGCCTTAATTTATAAAAATATATCCTGTAATGTATAATATTTGTGTTAATTCCTACACCTGTTAATTCCTATCAGTTCCTAAGATAGAAACCTAAAAGTGGAATTGCTGAATCAAAAGTCACGTGCATTTGAAAAAGTTTTTAAATTCATTAATTAATTTTATCCACACCTGAGGACATGCTCACTGATTTTAGAGAGAGGAGAAGAAGCGTAGGGGAGTGAGGTAGAAGGAACCATTGATGGTCTCCTGTCAAACCTGCACTCTAGGTGTGTGCCCTGACTAGGAATCGAACCTGCGCCCTTTTGGTTTACGGGTTGAAGCTTCAACCAACTGAGCCACATTGGCCAGGGCTGAAATTTTAATAAGTATCGCCAAATTGCTTCCCTAAGAGGCTGTACCAGTGTACACCTTCACCAGCAGTGAAGGTGCTTGTTTTATCATAAAGAGTTTATTGTATTTGGGGGTCTTTGCCAACCTGGTAGGTGAAAATGATATTTCAGGGTGGTTGTATTGACATCACTCAGTGCCTTTACTTGTGCAGTCCCCTTTACTTTTAGCAGCCATCCTTAGTAATTTGGCCGTGCTCCTCTCTCTGGTCACTGAGGTTGTGTTAGGTGTTCTTTACTGTATCTTCGTGATGCTTATAGTTTTGAGCTTTCCACTTTAGAGTGTAATCTGTAATTCTTTCTTTAGACTTGAGGGCAGGGACTGCATCTTCTTATGAAATCGTATTATAACTCTAAGTGGTCCATGGGAATACAGAGAAGGGAGAGAATAATTTGGGGAAGGGTAGGAATGAAGGGGAGGCTAAAAGAAGACCTTTGAATTTTAACTTTTAAGTAAACTTTTTAGTGATCTTTTTAAAGTTCAGATTTTCAGTTATGAGATATTTCTACCATATAGAAAACTTCCAAAAAATAACTGGACATCTGTGTATAGAACTGTGTAGACTTAAAAGATATTTATTTTGCCATATTTACTTCAGCTGTTTTTAAAGGATACATTGTAGTTACAGCTAAGGCCCCATCTGTCCAATGTTTTGCTTCCCGTCTCCCTAGAGGTTCCCACTAACCTAAAGTTGTTACACATACTTTTCACATGCATAGGTTATATATTTACTAACATGAATGTGTCCGTAAAAGTATAAGAT